GGTCAGAGGAATCCCGCCGCTATCCGTGTGAAACCGCAACCGGCAGCATCCAAAATGGGCGCCATCGGTATTGCGGCGGTGCCGGTGGAAGCCCGGGACGGTGACGTCACCAGCACGAAGGATAAAAACGAACCGGAATTTCGGGTGACGATCAAAAGGACCTGGGGGTGCGGGAAGGTGAGCAGCACCAGCGAGACCCCCGGTGCTCAGATGGACAGCGCCGGCACCGTCAGCGTCTTCAAACGGCTGGGGAAGAAACCGGATTGATCCCGCGGCGCTTCTTCCCGCACCGGAGAGCTCGTCCCGACGGTTTTCCGCTTGTCCCATCCCCTCCTGACAGTCGCCCGCTGTCCCCCCTCCCCGTTATCCACCCTCAAGAACCCTCATCCTGCCTTCCTCCTCGCTAATCCCACGGGGGAACCACGCTAATCCCACGGGGCGATGCTTAATCCCAAGGGGAAGAACGGCTTAATCCCACAGGGAAACAAGGCTAATCCCACAGGGAGATGCTTAATCCCAAGGGGAATGGCTTAATCCCACAGGGAAACAAGGCTAATCCCATAGGGAGATGCTTAATCCCAAGGGGAAAGGCTTAATCCCACAGGGAAACAAGGCTAATCCCACGGGGAGACACTTAATCCCAAGGGGAAAGGCTTAATCCCACAGGGAAACGCTAATCCCACAGGAAAGCAGCAGGGGGAAGAGCCCTTCCTGACGGATTTCCTGCCTGCCGGGCATCCCTGCAGGCGTGAGGCCAAATCGTGCTCTCCATCTCCTACCAACACCAAAACCTCTTTTTTTTCCCCTATTTTTCCCTCCTCTGCAGGTTCTTTCCTGTATTTAGGAATTTGGACCTGGAGAACTCCATCCAGAGGGGTTTTTCCCCTATTTTTTCTGTTTTTTTCCTCCTCTGCAGGGTTTTTTTCCCGTATTGAGGAATTTGCACCAAAACGACTCCGTAAATAATCATTACGGAGCGGCGGCTTGCTGTGGGAATTCTTAATTTTCAAGGATTTCGGAGCAGCCTCCAAAAAAAAAAAAACAAACCCCCAAAAAACTCCTTGGGGGCTTAAAAAAATCCCAAAATTGCCTTAATTTAAGCGACACCTTCAATCCGCCGCTCACGGTTTTCGGCTCGAGCTCATCCCGCCGTGAAACCTCAAATAAGCCGCCGTGGGGTTTTACCGAAATTATTTATTTCCCCCCCCAAATTCGTTTCCCCCAAAATTTATCCGCGACGACGTCACCAGGGGTGTCTCCACCCCGCACCTGCCTGGCGTTGCTGCAAACCCTGAAAAGACGTTTTTTCTCCCCAAAATAAAGACAACAGGGATGGAGGCAGCTGCCTGGTGAGTCAGGGTCTTTTTAATCAGAAAAACTGCCGATTTCTTTATTTTACCCTATTTTGGGAGGTTTCCTTTGCACTCCGGGCGTTGTTTGGTGTGTGAAAACGAGTGGT